TATATATATATATATATATATCGATTTTTTTTTACTTTATTTCAAATCAATAACTTTACTTTATTTCAAATCAGTAACTTTACTTTATTTCAAATCAAATTATTTTTACAATTATGTAAACGAGTACACATGTTAAAACGTATTTTATACTTAATGTCGATATTATTGTTCATAATGTAACATGTTACTTGATATATATAAGAGCTAATTTAACGTGACATGCTAAAACGTATTTTAGTTAATATAAAATTATGTATTTTTATGTGATAATGATGTAAAACAAAATTTGAAAAAACAAATGACATATCATAAATTAAATAAATAACTATAAATGTAAATATTAAAAATATTTTTTCATAGTATATAATATATATAATGATATAATTAAGTCAAAAAATATTCAATATTGGGCTTATTTCGAAGGTATTGACGTGACGATTATAATGATGTAACTTGTTAAAATTAAAACGTATTTTTTAAACGTATTTTAATTGATATACGATTATGTATGTTAATTTGATCAGGGTATAAAATAAAAATTTTAAAAAGAAAAGGTATAAAGTAAATTAATTAACTAATTATAAAGGTATAAAGTGTAAATTTAAATTTTTTATATTAAAACCGTGTGAATGTGTGAGTATGGTGTTGATGTGAGTATGAAAAAATTTGTGAGGTGAGGGACAAGGGTGCAGGAGGGTAGAAGGTGGTGCAGGGGTAGCAATATCAACCCCTAATATATATACACTTATACTCTCTCTCTATATATAATATAATATATATAGAGAGAGTATAAGTGTATATATATTATTATAGAGGGAGAATTTATATATATATATATATATATATATATATATATATATATATATATATAAGCACATAGAGAAGGTTTACTTTATAAACTATGCTATTTGTACAAACTTCATTCAATCGATCATAGTTTTTCATTTTGTTCATATTTTTGTAATTATGAGAAGCTGATTAATCATTTTTATTGTGAATGGTGTTAATTTTAGAGAAATACATGAAACAGTTTCATTAAAATTTCAATAAGTATTATATTAAACGATTTCATAACCATATATGTAACAACTTCATCAAAAAAAATATTATATGAAATAATTTTACAAGATTAAATAATTTCATGAAAAAATTTCATAAGATTAAACGATGAAATCGACGGATGAGGGTGGTTTGTACATTTTGTACAAATTAAATGGTTTGAATTTGATCGTTTCTCTCTCTATATATATATAGAAGAGAGATTATATACATATATATATATATATATATAGAGAGAGAGAGAGAGAGAGATATCAACATTGATATCTTAATACTGAGTTAGATACAATATTACTTGTTACATCAGCATAATAACCGGATAATGCTTCAACCCATTACCCGGATATTTAAATGTTTAGAACTTTACATCTTAAGTATTAAATGAAAATTTTGAAATTACGTTACTTAAAATAGGAATCAAATTAAAGTACGTTATTTTTCCTTGCAATCTGTCTTAAAAAATTTATAAAAGTAAGTTAATATTTTCATACATTTAATCTTATATAAAATAATTAAAAACGATTGTTTTTTAATATTTTATAATTAATGTAAAAGGTAGTTGCACCTATGTTATAAATTTAGTATTAAGATTCTAAAAATCAAATAATAATTGTTTAGTATTAAATATGATTATTTGATTTTCTTTTTACTATTATTTTATTCGTTGATTTTTTTAAATATCTGTTTATCGTAAGTTTTCTAAAGTGATGTTTGTTTTTTAAGAGGTGCTGAAGTTTGAAATTTTATTTCACTTATGATTAATAAGAGGTGGTGCTAAAGTATGAAATCTGAATCAATAACACTGTTTATTTTGACAAATTGATTACTGTTTGAATTTGTTTAAATTGTCTATTTTACTAATTAGAAAATTATAATATTGAATTTATAGATAAATCCATTCAATTTCACATATTTATTCATCATCATTACGATGTTTTTGTTATTAACCTGAATATCCGGCCCACTATGCGAGACGACTAATCTCAGCGCGACCACCTGCTTTGCAGATAGCCCGGAGTCACCGTATTTGAAACTCCGTGGCCACTAGGGGATTTTTATTCCTCCTTGGATTTGAACTTGAGACCTCCTGATACTTTTGACCTTTGGAGCCAAGCTCAAACCAATCAGGCACCACGAAATTTATATTTAAATTATATAATTAACAATATTTAACACATTTTAATCCCACTAAAAAAATACACCAATTGAGAGATGTGAGGATCGATTTGGTAATGACCAGTCAAGAAAAAAATTATCGATTAAGGTTAATCGATTGAGAAACGTTGTTGCTAAAGGCCTCGAGAACAATAAGAAACAAATAAGAGGTAGATTTACCTTTTAACAAAAAAAAAAAAAAAACAAACAGTCTGAATGACCCTACATCTTAACGAATCAGACATAAGAGGCTAATAAGAGTTTTTTTCAAAAAACAAACAAAACATGGTTTTTTTTTAATATTATATAAAAAAAAGTTCCATAATTTATTAAGGGGGTGTTTGGGATTGCTTATAAAAACAACTTATCGACTTATCCCAGTGTAATAAGCACTTTTGAGTGTGTGGATAAACAACTTATACCGGTGCCAAACCGGTAATAAGAAGTTTTTAAAAAAGTTAAATCCTTTTAACTTATGATAAATTGATAAGTGCTTTTGTAAAAAAAAACATAAATTGTTTCAAATAAACAAATCCTAAACACCCCCTAAATTCAATCAAAACCTTACCTAAATTTACAAAAAAAAAAACCTAAATGAAACATGAGAATCAGATGATATTTGCTGGTTAGAATTTGGTGAACAAATTCATCAAAATAAATAAATAATATAAATTAAATTTTTTATTATTTAAATATAATTTATTTTTAGCAATTTTAGGTAACCTAAATTCCACCCATTAACCTCTTAAATTACTTGTTAATTTTTATAATAATTTTTTTTATTTCTGAAAATAGTTTATAACAAAAAAAATCCTGCAATAAATTTAACTATTTAATAATGGGGTTGACTTTTATTTAATTGGTTTTGACTATTGACTTTGACCTTTTACTGTGGAGAAAAAGAAATAAATGTTTTAACCATCTCACGAAATTTAGACGTTTTAATTTAACTAGAAGGGTACTCGTACAATGTAACGAGATATATCTTGATTTTAATGAATCATTTTTTTTTTGTCTCAGTTGATGTTATCGTACGATTTTATGTGGTTTTGAGAAAACGATAATGAAAAAAAAATACAAATACGAAGATATATCATAAAAATTGAAAAAAAAATATTGATATCAGTACCAAACTAACTATTTAATATTTTTTTCTTTTTTGTGTATTTCTTTAATTCATTTTTTTTTTGGTTTAATAATATAATCTTTTGCAAAGATAATAATTAAGTATTTTCTTAGAACACAGTGATTATTCTAATTATATTTTATTGAAATGTTTATCTAGTATTTGATTATGTTTTGGTTACATGAATTCAAGCATGAAGCTTTAATAGGTTGTACTTGTGCATTATTTACTTGTAATGTTGAATTTTAAGTAATATGCATCAATAAACAGTACTTTATGTATAAAAAATGATTTTTAAGAGTTTTTGTCGGATGCTTTATAATATAGTATAGATTAATGGATGGGTAATTTTTTTATTTAATTAGAAATTTAATTACCTTTTTTTTATTTCAAAAATTACATTTATGTGAAAGTTGAATGGTTTTTAAAAACAATTTTCT